CGACCCAAAATCGTTACAAAATCTTTTTTACGACGTAAATACACGAGCAATGGCTTGATTGACAGCTCGAGATGCCCGCTGACCATACCATTGTTGAACATTTAATCCATAAAAATACACGAATATGAGTTAAATAAATTTGTTTCTGACTCAGAAAAAGTTTATGAAACTATTGTGGTAGTGATGGAATAAACAATTATATATGACTCGGAAATTATATACAGTCACGAATTTATATAGAGATTTGAACCCGGGCCAAATTAACTTTGGAGTCCCGAATGGCCACATATTCCTCGTTTCGTTTATTTCTTAAAAAAATTATAATGATTAGAACCACTTTATAACCAACCTTAAATTCTCTTTTGTTTACCACCTCATCTAGGAATTGTTTTTTCAATTCCACCTGAAATGCGAGAGAAAACAAAAAAGTGTTTTTGAACTTTGGAGAAGATGTCTAGAGATAATAATGGATTTTTACCATAGCTGGAGTAATAATAACTGATTATTGACCGACGGATATGTGTTTCACGACCAACCAATCAGAGTAGAGGATCTTGGAACGCCATATTATTAATAAATCAAACTTGAGTAACCAGAAATCCAAGCGTATTTCTACTATCGTGTTACGCAAAGCTTTATTGTGTTTAGAGATATGCATATAAAAATAGCTGCAAAAAAAGAAATATCAAGAGCATGACAGGGATTAGTGAATGATTTTTGCCACAAGACGCCTGAGTAAATATAATTTTCGGCCATTTGCAAACATTAATCGCTTTTCCCTTTCATGTATGACATATCGTGGGATTAAATAAGTAATAAGGTGAAAATAAATATAATCCTCTCAGAATTAATACCTGGATAAAAATCATTCGTAAGTCGTCACTTATCTTAATGGTCGCATTCTTTAAAAAGTGTGCGTGCTGTAGGCCATTTCAAGTTCATATGTCAATCAATTGTGTAAAAATGTTGCTCGGTCAAGTATGTAATAGATTACGTCATCAAAAGTTTAATTCGATAAAAATAAGAGTGAAAATAGTTTAAGTTGAAAGATATTGTTCACAGACGTATTGTTGGTATGTTTTACTAGTTTGTTGATGATGAATATTTTAAGTTGTGAACATTTTTAAGTATTGATCGATTGAGCAGAAGACCAACTCGACTAGTGCGACAACGCCTTAAATAACAAGATATGAGAGCTGGAACGAGCTTCTAAGACCAACCCACTGGTTACATGTACAACGCTGATTGGCTGGATAAGGATCAGCCCACTATGGTTGATGACGTATGCAAGAGTCACTGAACCTCATTATAAAAGGGCGTGCACAGCACCTGAACCTTCAGTGGACTAGCGGAGTAAAGATTAACTTATGAAACGTTAAGAAGCTCAACCTACAGGACAGACGACCAAAGACAAGAACGCAAAACGACGAAGATAGAGAAGTAGAGAAGAGAAGAACGGAAAAAGAAGAGAACATTAGCGAACTTTAGTTAAAACTATTGTAAAGATCTCGTACCTCGCGTATCAAATAAAGAATCTTATAACAACTTGGTGGGAGGGAACGGCTCTAAAAAAACCTCGCTATGTACTATAGTAACAACGGGTGGAATACTAGCCTTGCTGAAACACCTGATGACTGGTTCGAAGGAAACGCACGTTCACGTTCTGTATTCATCAATACTTCTACTTATGGCAATGCTAGACTTTGTTTCATTTTTTGGTTATATGTTCAAGACAACTGTCCACAACCTATACACTTTCCTCGAACTACAATTGAAACTACAGTCGTTTTGCCCTCAGTCTGCAATCCAAGACGAGTTTGATGACATGTACTCCCTCTATCTGAACGTGTTGGCTATGCCAGAAATCCAGCTAAAGACGCATCAGTGGAAGCCTCCGTGGTCGTTGAAATATGATTATTGAGACGTACGAAAGTCTCAGAGTTTTCCGGATCCTTCCTGATGGTCAGAATGCTTGTATTATGGACATGAAACTGGACGCATTTTAAGATTTGTATAATATAAGTTTTTGTCATTCTCATGTTACACGTATATGTTTATCATTTGTTTGTTTATGTGCGATAATATTAAACACGAGAGTATATAGCTGTTCAACTAAAATTCCTTAGGTACACTCAGCATGCTGATTAAACATGTTGCCGTAGGATAGCGCATGCATGTTTTAATTGGGTCAGTGTATAAATTTAATTCTGACGCTTTTAGTTATGCGTCATTCGTTGATAATATATTTTTCTCTTCCCCCGGGACAGTCAAGGGTCTCCCAAACTTGTTGTAATGGATTACAATTCTTTTTCAAGCCAAAAGCTTAAATATTAGGCACATTCTTGTTTTCTCTATGTAGACTCGGTATTTATATTGTCGATGAAAACCTACATTTTGGAGTTTGGTTTGCCGTGCATGACGTTTAAAAAAGTAAAATGAGTTTCAGTTATATTAAGAAGTATACGTATAAAATTTGTTTGCATAAGTTGAAATATTTTGAAGAATTATTAAGACGTATATATAGGTTTAGGTTATTATTATGGAGAGATGTTTTGTCGGAAGAGCTTTATAATAATTTCCTGTTATGTGAGTTGATCAACCAAGAATCTGAATACAATTTTCGCTGTTGCAATGATAAGATATTTTATGAAATTTGAATAATTTTTGGTACACTTTCTGACTGCATCTACAAAATTTATAATTTCGCTTAAGTCCCTGGTATACATACATTCAGGAAAACAGGAAATTTTCACCCCTTGTTTTCACACTAATTTTGGTTTAATATTGCTATATTCTGACGTGTTTAATATAATTATATGACATTATTATAGTTAGATTACCCCTGAGGTGCATGTAGGCATAAGTCAATTATATTTAGATCAGTTGTATCTCGTATAATCAATTATGTAGTGTTGTCGTAGAATAACAACACGTACTATATGTATGGTCTCAGTTATTAGGCATTTGGTAATATGCCCGTGATAGCCACGCCGAGCTCAAAAATAGTGCGAATTTGTAGACATATATAAGTTCATCATAGCTCACTCGAAGCTGGGGACAGCTTATTCTAGGTGAGGAGGATTGTTACGCAAAGCTTTATTGTGTTTAGAGATATGCATATAAAAATAGCTGCAAAAAAAGAAATATCAAGAGCATGACAGGGATTAGTGAATGATTTTTGCCACAAGACGCCTGAGTAAATATAATTTTCGGCCATTTGCAAACATTAATCGCTTTTCCCTTTCATGTATGACATATCGTGGGATTAAATAAGTAATAAGGTGAAAATAAATATAATCCTCTCAGAATTAATACCTGGATAAACATTCGTAAGTCGTCACTTATCTTAATGGTCGCATTCTTTAAAAAAGTGTGCGTGCTGTAGGCCATTCAAGTTCATATGTCAATCAATTGTGTAAAAAATGTTGCTCGGTCAAGTATGTAATAGATTACGTCATCAAAAGTTTAATTCGATAAAAATAAGAGTGAAAATAGTTTAAGTTGAAAGATATTGTTCACAGACGTATTGTTGGTATGTTTTACTAGTTGTTGATGATGAATATTTTAAGTTGTGAACATTTTTAAGTATTGATCGATTGAGCAGAAGACCAACTCGACTAGTGCGACAACGCCTTAAATAAACAAGATATGAGAGCTGGAACGAGCTTCTAAGACCAACCCACTGGTTACATGTACAACGCTGATTGGCTGGATAAGGATCAGCCCACTATGGTTGATGACGTATGCAAGAGTCACTGAACCCTCATTATAAAAGGGCGTGCACAGCACCTGAACCTTCAGTGGACTAGCGGAGTAAAGATTAACTTATGAAACGTTAAGAAGCTCAACCTACAGGACAGACGACCAAAGACAAGAACGCAAAACGACGAAGATAGAGAAGTAGAGAAGAGAAGAACGGAAAAAGAAGAGAACATTAGCGAACTTTAGTTAAAACTATTGTAAAGATCTCCTACCTCGCGTATCAATTAAAGAATCATATAACAATCGGATGAAAGATATTCAAAAGATACTCGTTTCCCAATTTACTTTTGCGAATCTTAAAACAGCACTAGCTAGGTGGTTAATTGAAACCACCTTTGAATCAAAAGCCAGTGGATATGGTAGTACAGTTATGACGACAGCACGACCGTTGATATCACTAAAATCGACACAATATATATATATATATATATATATATATATATATATATATATATATATATATATATGCATAGCGAAAAATGAATTTCTTAAGAAATTGAATTTTCTTATTTTAGGAAAATATTTACTTGTTTCAAAAAATCATGTTCTTATTTTGAGATAATATTTTCTTAAGACTTTTTTCTTCCTAATTTGAGAAAACATTTTCTTGAAATAAGAAAATTATTTGATTTATTTCTCGAGAAAATATCAGAGATATCACTTTCTTATCATAAGAAAATGTTTTTCTTAAAATGAGAAATTGTTTTCTTAAGAAAATATTGAGATATCAATTTCTTGTTATAAGAAATATACATTCTTAAACTAAAAAAATGCTCTTCGCATTAAATTTGAAGAATTTCAGCTGAGAGTAAACTTTAAAATTACTTGTGTTTCAAATGTTCCTTATTGTTGAAGTTTGTTGATTTCAAAAAGTTATATGGTTCATATTTTACTGTTTTTCGTTCCAATCATTAGATGATTTTATTAATTTATCTAATTATCAGTATGAGTAAAAATGCCCTAGTCAACAATGAAGCTTTTCGTACTTGCACCTTACAAGCATGGCGTGACATGTTCGGTCAAGAACCATTAAAATAGAAGAAAGTCATAATATAATGTTTGCAAAATGCTGTTTTCATTTACAGAAATCCGGCGTGAGATAATTCAAAGCATTCAAAGGTTTAATACTGATAATTGTATGGTCTAGCCTGATGAAGAGCCTGATTATTTCATTTATCCCATTATGCCTTTCAAGCGTAGACCACGAGGGATATTTGAATACTTAGCGAAACAACCTATAACGTTATTAATGCATATTAAAGAAATATTGTTTTTTAAGGCGAATATGGCATTTCTATCTTGTTATTTACTTTATATATTACCGATAAAGATATGGACGTTTAGGATGTGAAAAAATATACACTATATCGGCGCAAATTTGTGGTATTTCATAAGGTGAGTTGATGTTTCATGATGTCATATGCCAACATGCTGATCGAGTGTGTTATTATATACAACGTACAAGCCTTTATTAACAAGCCTTCGTTAGCCTTTATTCCACCCTATAATAGATCAAGAATTGTATTTAGGTCTTTTTTCATCGTTCAATGATTTGCGCTATGATTTTCCATGTTATTATCTGTTTATATAGTTAAATAGTTGGCTATAGCACGGATAGCTAAACAATACCTTAGAATTCCTCAGCAATTATGGCTTGGTTAGAACACCTCAGGCTCAGAGGAGCAAAATAGTATAGTCCAATGTTGTGATATATATAACGAAGGAAGAGCATATGGCAGTGTTTCTAATGTCTTTGTTTGAAATGTAGGATATTATAAAGAGTTGAGTTATATTTTCAGATTGATACTAAATCGAGGGGGGTTAATGTAACAGTGCTTCTCCACAGCAGGGTTTCGACTGTTCCAAAGGGTATAAATTGTGCATCAGAGTCTGCCTATATCATTGACATTATCCCAAAGCTCTCTATTTTGCCTTCAGATACATTTATCCATCCATATTTTGTTAGGGACAGTTTTTGGATTTAAAAAAATTTGATTTCATTGGATAAGGCCTCTATCTATATATTGTTTGAATTAATTACATGCATTTACATGGTGAATTGATTGGAATTTACACTATCATAGAGAGGTAGAAAAGCAGTGTAGAATGGGTTGAAGGATGGGCATATTTGATAATAGTCTTAAAGTAGTTTTCTTAAAGATGCCGGTATAGCAGGGGATAGCTAAAGAATAGCTTAAAATTCCCCACAATAGCTAAATTATTATTTACCAGTATTTTTTGTGTGATGTACTCAATTCCTAACACGATTGCAAAGTTTTATTTTAAGTGTGAACTTAGGATTTACTTCTCACCAATTATTTGCTCTCAACTTTATCTGATGATGTCTCATCTGAATTTAAGGACCACAAAAATTCTTTTGCAATAATGGATCTGTACTGCAATAATTGATATTTAAAAACATGTCAAATAAGCACTGGACAAATACAAAACCTTCAAAGCTTGGGTGCAATATTATATATGATCATTTCTCTGTATTTCTATATAATCATGTAGGACCTATAATTCTCATGTATTAATGTCTGCTGTGTATTCTATATTATGACTCATGAATATTTTAGTAAATTTACATTACATTCATACATGTAACAAAATATCATGTCAGAGTTTCTAGGGTTTCTTGAGAATTAACTTTTCTTATTATAAGAAAATATTTTCTTGGAAATATATCTTATATCAAGAAAAATTTCTTAAGAAAATTTTTCTCATTATGAACATTCTATAAGAAATTTTGGACTAATTTCAAGAAAATTTTCTTAAACTGAGAAATTATTTGTGTCCAACTTTTCTTATTTTAAGAAAAAAATTCTTAAGAAAAAAAGTAAGAAAATTTTCTTATTATTCTCTTAAAAAAATTTGAACTCATTAAAATGAGTTTTTTTTTCTTGAAATAATAAAATGACTTTTTGCTGTTTACTTATACTAAATGATTTTAATTAGAATCAAGGATTATGTTTGTTGACTCTGGACATGAAATTAATACCTGTTTCCGCCAAATCTGACACATTTTCAGCAGATTAACTTACATCTTATTATTGTACAAGGTTTTAAACCTGACAAGCTGTCTTAAATGTCTGTGTTTAAAGACTTTGGTGTTAATACGATGGAAAAATGCTGTAGCCCCATACTTTTCCTAGGCAAATGGCAAGAAACACAGGACCTTTGTTCTCTAGATTGTGAAATTTTTCAGAAAATTCTTCCATTGCCTAAGACCATAAAAACCTCAATATGCCTGTTCATTAACAATTATTTAGATGAACGTAACCTTCAGATCAAAATGACCCGTTTTTCGAATAACTCAAACCAGTTAACTATGATCATTGCATGTTGCATGAGAATTGCATCTAGTTTGGTTTGTTGATAAATAAAATCTATGAAATACTGCAGAATTGATTTCTATTTAGACATCCCTTTCAGACTGCCATAATTCGAATTCACTGGTAATTAGTACTAAAGGCCGTGTTACACGGTGCAATTTTTCTTGCAACATGCAATGCAATTGTACTGCTAAGATATGTAAATTATTAGTCTTGCAGAAGGAAAGTGCGTGAAGTGTATGAACACAAAAGTTTTGTTATTCCCAAATATACATACATATCTCAAAAGTAGAATTGCACTGCAAGTTGCAAGAAAAATTGCACCGTGTAACAGGGCCTTAACATTGTGGTTACAGAGTAATGTTCACGTAGAACAAGATACCAAACATTAATTCTTGTGGTAGTTTCTTGAGTGTTTAGTTATTGAAAAGACGCAACAATTGGGTTGTACAATACAATATGTACAGCCGTATATACACTCCTGGGTATATAGCTATATATCGATCATCCCAATGATGCTTTCACATTATTTAAACCTGTGATTGTTCATTCCAGGGTTTCACTGAGGAAAAAAGACAACTTCAACAGAATATTCGCAAATTACAAAACCAACTCGAAGCTAAAGAACAGGAACATCGTCAAAAGGAATGGAGACTTGTGGACAAACTGAAGAAAAATGATGTCACAATACAGACGTTAGCTTTATGAAATTCCTCAGGGGGGGAGGGACGGGGGACAAGACCATGCATATTGAAATGGGTTCTTACCTAAATCATTCACATTCTGCATTTCTGATTTCTGTACCAATGTATGTTCATTGGCGGATCTGGCGTAAGTCGAAATGCATTATTTATTTTGATTGTGAACCTCCAAAGGTTCATTACTCGTGTCTCGTTTTTACGAGTAGCTTTTTTTGAAAATATTTTTAATTCTCAATATGCCCAAAATCCAAATGTGAGCTGTTCTAATTTATTTTCACTAACCTAATTTCTGCCACAGGGCATGTCTATTTCAAAACCCAGAATATATCCGCTGTTGAAATGATGTTGAAATTCGACAACTTTTTAACATTTCGAGAGGAACGACTTTGTACAGGACCTGGTGACAACTGAGTGATTTTTTTTATTACACAGGCTAAATCAATCAATCGCAAACTTAAAGAGCAAGATGGACCAACAGAACCCGGGATATTCCAGATTAACTGTAGCAAAGGATGTTGAATTGGAAACGTTGCATCACCAGGAGGCCAAGATGAGATCTGAACTCGCGCGGAGAAAGAATGATCTTGAGAGGTGCGAATAAACGATGAATATAACTTTGCTCTCTCGATTGGTTTTAAATTCCGACCTATCGTGAAACGTTTCTCATTAATCGCAGGCTCAGCGTATGAGGTGATTTTTCAGGGGGCTTACACACACCTGGTAAGATAAACCTGGCCATAGCAGCCATTCAATTCATTCGCTAAAACACCTCCTTTGCTGAGCTGAAGTGCAATTATTTGTTAATGAATATTGTACTATACGGATAGATAACTAACGATTTTTTAAGTTAAAGAAAAAGTGTAAAGTTTGAACGAAAATCGTAAAAAAAACATACCCCCAATTTACGGATCCTATTATGTGTTGATATTACAAGTCGTGTATCGTGTTAAAGATTTCTATTAAAGATTTAACTTCATGTCTTGATCCAACTTTTTTCTTTAGGAGGCAGTGACAGCCAAAGGTGTGACGGGGGTAAAATCCTCGAGAAATTTTGAAAATGATCTAAAACATTGGTGCCAAAGGAGCCATCTTTTGAGATTGTTTTTCCATACCAGAACTATGTATATAGAGTCTCTTTATGTAAATTCGTAATTCAACTAATGATTGTATGCAGTGGTAACAGGAAACTCATCGATTCCAAATTCAGTTTCCGCAATTCGCTGTAATAAAGTTGTTGAAAATAGATTGCAAGTCGAATCATGCTCCTCTCATAGTAGCCATACCTAAAAGCCAGCTGATGTGCTTAACGAGGTAACTTTCGCAAGATGTGCATGTAATTTCCACTGAAATAACGCGATTTTTCTTCATGGCCAAAACACTTGATACATACCACAATTCTTTTGAGTTTGCGCTGATGTAATTGAGGACCTACCCTGCGCTCGCGAATCTGAAACCTTTACATCGATACCTCCCCCATTGCTTCGCAATATTTTATCATTTCTCTAGATTTTATGATTCATGCATGTTTCACAAATCTTAATTGTGACAAAAGCATGACGTTTTCGTCCGGGTTAAGTTCAGACTTATCTTTTCTTGTTGCAGTCGAAGATGTTGGCACACCAGCAGCGAATATGAATAATGAAGAACTTCCAGTGCAGAACGAAAATTTGCGTCATGTTATTAATCAAATAAAAGTGGACATGGAGGATTTGACGAAACAGTTGACGCAACGTACCACTGGATCGATTACTAATGCAGGAGATGGCGTACCCATTACGGAAGGTAATTGTATGATAATAAAGCGGGAATATATTTCATAACAAAACAATTTCGAAAATATAAAGCCAGATTGTTTTCTATGCATGGATGATTTTAATTTTTTCTTAAAACCTTATCTTTACGGGGCTTATTAGGCAATCCCCGTTCTATAGCTTCTGTATTTTGAAAGATATATTTTTAGAATGACTAATCGTTATAGTGATCGTAACAAAGATCAGTGTGAATGGAATTAATCTGGTATTTCTTTACTAAACATTTCAGAATATGTGACAAGTCTGGAAAAAGAAATTCGAGAAGTGAAGGCGAGAAACCGCGAACTGACCCAATCCATGGCTAATACAAATGCTAAAACTGAAAAAACTGAGCCAACTTACGTTTTAGATGGAAGTAAGGATAATGTTCATATAAGAGGTCTGGTGGCACAGCTGAACAGCACAATCGGTAAGTGATAGATAACAAAGTTCAACCATACAACAGCAGTTGAAAAAGGTACAAAGCTTAAACATAGCGTCATTAAATTGAAACATTACCTCATCCCCCGCATACCCAGCAGTTTTCATTCTGTTATCTGAATAGTTATAGTTGAACGTTGAATTAGTTTTCTGTGTCTAATATCAAATTTTAACCTACAATGTCCTGAATAATTTCTGCGGGTTTTCACTCCGCGCGCAGGTAGCATAAAAAACAACCCCTACTTACATTGCCTCGATCTACTTATTTACTACACCGAGTTACATAACTGTTGACTATCTTTATTGCAAATATTTCCGTTGAGTCAAATATTTGACTTTCAAGTTGCGTATGTCTGTGGGTCATTAAAAAAACACTAGCATGTTGATTAGCCCTGAGAATTTGCCCGAGTGGAAATTTGAAAAAAAATGCCTGTATTTTTTTGCAAGACACAACTGGAGTATCAAGGATTAAGATTTTTGTAGCTGATATTCCAATCGCATTGTACTATTGATCATGGTAACTTAAATTGTGGGAATCGCACGAAAGGCATTCTGTATTAACCGACTAGAATTTCAGTTAAGGTATATAATATAATTGCCTATTTAACAATATATATTCTTGCACGTCTTTAGGTAGTTTACGGCAAGAGAAATTAGACCTTACATCTCAATTGGGAAATGTAAAGCAACTATGGTTCATCTTTAATGTTTACTTCATCATTCTTGAAAAGAGGTGAGTCTTCTTCTCTAAATGGCTATGGGCTTTGTTTTAATGCACTTGTTTTTTTATCCGTCTTCGCTGAGAATGTTTGTGATATATGTTCTCGTATTTTGGTGAAGCCACGACACGTCATTGCATTCGTCATCGTATCGGACATAGTCTTCTGCGCGGTTATTACTCATTTGTTGTTTGTGATCGCCGAGTGCATATTTCAGCGTATAAATGCGCTTGTTAACGGGCTGTTATGCCAATAGTTGATTTTACAAAAGATATAAAATAGGGCTAACATCTACTGGGAAAAGAGTTTTTCAACTTATAACGTAAATTATGAATTCCATCATATGCGGAATGGTATTTTGATGTTTTAAATTACGCTTTTGGGCGGGATATTACTTTAAATTAACTATCGAAGCAATTAAATGAAATACTTTCTCACTTTTTGAGTGAATTTCGGTGCGACGAACTTAAAAACATTTTATCGCTTCCCTTCATATCTAAAAGATACCTTGTCATGACGAGCTCTGTTTTCTGTGTTCTAGATCTCGTACAAAAACAACTCAGACACAGAGTTGGAATAATTTTGGCAATGTGCGTAATTGTCTAACGCACATGCTGATTTATTAATTTTTACTTAACAACAAATTAATTATTAATCAACAAACAATAAATTCAATTACTAAACAATTTGCACAGAAAAGGTGGGGCTAATTTAAACGCCCTACCGAATATACTAATATACCTTTACTTTAAACTCGCGTGAGAAAACGGGGAGGAGGGCGGGTTCAAATTTGATCTGTAATGACCTTGTCGAAGCGAGGAGCAGAATGAATTGGCAGCACATTCTGCTCTTTATCTATACTGACCCTCATCTCCGCTTTCCCACACGTTACCTATATGTCATCAGAATTCCAGGGAAATTACCTGCGCGTCAAACTAAAGTATTTAATCTACTTTATTATAAAGTCTCAAGTGCAGGAAGCAATAAATTACTTTAAAGACGAAAAAGCGGTGATCGGTGAGCGTTGAATCTACAACTACAAAGTTACACTAATAGAAAAAAAATTAAGCATTATTTTATTCAGCAAATGGCAGTAACAAGTTGCCCTGTTTTATAAATTATAATGCAATATTTCACCTGTCATTTCTTGCTTGTGGACATGCACTATTAAACCAAAACATTACCTTATTGCAAATGGCAGTAACAAATTGCCCTGTTTTATAAATTAGAATGCAATATTTCACCTGTCAATTTCTTGCTTGTGGACATGCAGCTATTAAACCAAGTACATTACCTTATTGCAAATAGTAGTAACAAGTTGCCCTGTTTTATAAATTATAATGCAATATTTCACCTGTCATGCGGCTATTAAACCAAATGCTTTGGAGCTCAAAAAACAAAAGTGCATTTCAACTGATCAAAAATCTTTGAAATATTGTTCAGATACATAGATAAGTCCTTAAAAAATGTTAATGCGAAACGTTTGAAACAATTTTGGACTCTTTGTTATGTGACTGTTAAATGATCTGGCAAATCAAGTATTTTATCCTCAATGAAATCTTTGTTAAGATCTTTCTCCTTCTAAACTAAGCTTTATGTTATCAGACGATGTGTGCCACCATCCCGGATCCTTTTTGTTTTGTTCACCTATTCTGCTTAAAAATTTCATTTCCTATCTCTTGTAAAAATGGTTTTATACATGTTTTGATCTGTCCTAAAAAAGCGGTGATCGGTGAGCGTTGAATCTACAACTACAAAGTTACACTAATAGAAAAAATATTAAGCATTATTTTATTCAGCAAATGGCAGTAACAAGTTGCCCTGTTTTATAAATTATAATGCAATATTTCACTTGTCAATTTCTTGCTTGTGGACATGCACTATTAAACCAAAACATTACCTTATTGCAAATGGTAGTAACAAGTTGCCCTGTTTTATAAATTATAATTCGGCAAATGGTAGTAACAAATTCCATGTTTTATAAATTATAATGCAATATTTCACCTGTCAATTTCTTGCTTGTGGAAATGCAGCTATTAAACCAAATACATTACCTTATTGCAAATGGCAGTAACAAATTGCCCTGTTTTATAAATTAGAATGCAATATTTCACCTGTCAATTTCTTGCTTGTGGACATGCAGCTATTAAACCAAATACATTACCTTATTGCAAATAGTAGTAACAAGTTGCCCTGTTTTATAAATTTTAATGCAATATTTCACCTGTCATGCGGCTATTAAACCAAATGCTATGGAGCTCAAAAAAACAAAACTGTTAACAAAAAGTGCATTTCAACTGATCAAAAATCTTTGAAATATTGTTCAGATACATAGATAAGTCCTTAGATAAATCTTTGTTAAGATCCTTCTCCTTCTAAACTAAGCTTTATGTTATCAGACGATGTGTGCCACCATCCCGGATCCTTTTTGTTTTGTTCACCTATTCTGCTTAAAAATTTCATCTCCTATCTCTTGTAAAAATGGTTTTATACATGTTTTTTGTTTTGTTCACCTATTCTGCTTAAAAATTTCATTTCCTATCTCTTGTAAAAATGGTTTTATACATGTTTTGATCTGTCCTAAAATGTATTTAATACAATAAAATATTATAATTTATAGATTGCGTAATAAATCGACTTTGTTATAACTGTATTCAACCAGCTAACTATAGGGCATTTATTCCGTTGTCTATGGCATTAGAACATAAGACTAGAAAATATATTTTATTGCATCAGTTGATATTTACTCGCCACTATAGCAGCTTTATCGCATTACAGGCTACCCACATGTACGCATTGCGTACCTATTTTTATTGTGTGTATTTATTAGCAGTAACATATGTCGTGCCAATAAATTTAGTCTATAGTGTAAATGAGGCTAGTTTTCGAGTGCTGCATTCCTAGATTTTAGAAAGCTGTGTCGAGCATTGATGATCATTGCACTTAAACTTAGCAACTTAACAACTAACATATCAACTTCACTATCAGTTGTCAACAGGGAATCGTCGGGATAACGAAGAAATGAATGCTTTGAAGCAGCAGAACTCTGATCTCAAGCTGCAGGTAACCCAAAAAAGACACCAGGCTGACGAATTTTACAAAACGGGTTTGAAAAGAAATATTGATGCTGTATCATTAGGAAACCAGGTTCAATGATATTGTTAAATGACTAGATCGCAGATGCAAAATGGATATAATAAAGACATTCTTTAGGTATATTACATTAAAACAAATTAAACGGGTAAATGTATCACAGTCTGAAGCTTAACGGTGAACCCACTTTCATTTTTACTTTACCGTGTTGTTGGTTAATGCAAATCGAACGAAATTTATATGTGCTTTTAAAACCGCAAGCAGTTAAGAGAGGATTTGATTAGTTATCAGCCAGAGGGCAGGAAGGTCAGTAACATCCTGGGTGATTCACTGAGCAACAAAGCGAGCAGCTATAATCCTGAACCTAAGATATCAGTTGTGAGCCATATGCTGGACCGGAAACTATCGAAATAATAAAAAGTTAATCAGTGTATATAATTGTATATAAATGCTTATAAATTTTAAAAGATTTTGTATAGTGCAACTGTCGTTATTGATCTAGCTTTTTTAGTTCCTTTTGTATTCTTTCGATCTTTTAATTTTAAAATGTCGTCCAGTTTCGGTGATCATTCATATCGGTAGGCATGATATCTCTTGAAGAATGATTCGATTGGATTTTATACCTTATTGTATTACTTATATATAATAAACGTAATATGACACCAACTCCAGTTAACTCCAACCCCCGGTAACTCGATCAATTTTTCTTTCCCTTTGGGAGTTCGAGTTAGCGAGGAACTAATGTATTTTAAAAGCGCACTCGAACTTGTTCAGTAGGAGTCATAACATTTCCATGGCGGTATTTCCAATCGAATAAGAGCTTAATTTTCAGTGTTTTTCCTTAAATCTTTGTATCGATTAAGAAATAACTTTCTCTTTGATCGGTGATGACAAAATTTGTATGTGAGTGTAACACAGCCTACATGCGATAGTGTGGATACGGAAGAATTACTGATAATCGTTTGATATTTATCTGTTTTGAGAGCGTAATGTCCAAAATTTTTGTATTCGGTGTAATTAGACAGAAATTCGAGTTTCTGCAGAGATCGTTTATGAAAGTATGGGTTAATGTTTGTCGCAGATAAACTACCCGAGGTAAAAGTATTAGCAACATCTAGTCAAGAATTGTGTGCCAGGCAGGAGATGATTGCATTTTCTCATTGCTTTTCTGCAGTTTTCAGCATTAAAATTGGATCTTGTCAGTCACGGAAAACCTTTGAATACGTACAATCCAGAAAGTCAGTTTATACAAGACCTTCGAGAGAAAGGTGAGTGTACTGTCTGACGCTTTTGAAAGTACTATCTTTATTTGTGTTTAGAATCTTAACAATCACGACTGCCGTAGAACATTCTAAATCTACTGAATTAATTGAAACGTAGAGATTGTGATGTAACCCAACCACTGTCAGTTGTTAGACCATATATAGAATGCATATCTCTTGCTGTCCTGATCCACCTAAAATAACGTGATATAGCTATGACGCCTGTCTATGGAGATATATTTTATTCCAAACCGTTCACAATTGGTAAATTACGACCTTTTCCAAAACAGTAAATTGATTGCGGCTGGAAAACCTAAAATTTCTCATCAACACATAACAAACCCTAAATTCACTTCATAAAATTCTGAATGATTTAGTCAGGATTTGAATTTTAAACGTTTTCCTCTTTTTTTCAGAAGTCTTTGGTATGAAGGGAGTTGTATCGTCAGCAGAAGGATTACACACCAAACTACGTCAAGCTGCTCAACGGATTAATGGATTAACAAAAGAACGCAAACAGTTGATTAAAATGGGAAATAAGCTGAGAGCTGAATTGTTAAAAATAAAGATATTTGAAGGAATGTTTTGGTATATCTATTAAAATGTCATTAATATATAGACGTTAGTCGAGATAAATTACTGTAAGAATGAATTGAATACATTTTTCCTATAGTCATGACGCGTAGCTTCTGTTGTTCGCAAAAGACTAACTGCATGCATGTGCAAAGAGAACCCGCGATGATTACGTCACTACCGCATGTAGGGTAGTGACACGTGACCGGGCTCCAGAACACCGCGGAATAACGTCTCCGGTCGGTTATAAGCATATGGCGAAAAACTTCAATTGGAACTGTTGAAAGAAAACATGCGCATGTTCATTGATATATAGTTAAACTTGTACTTCAAAATGTACCAAAAACAAGTGGACTAAACATTCGTTTAATGTGTCCTGGCATTTAAACATAAAATAAAATTGTTTTGCAGATTAAAAATACAAAACAATCTCACCGTAACCATTTTCTTCACCTTGGCGGCATATAACTAGGCGTATGGCTAATTTCACGTTGATATTATAATGTAAAAGCTACGAATAAGATTCAGTTTTGTGCGTTTTAGGCAAGAAACAAAATTATCATCATCAAAGTATTTATACCAATTCATTTATTCAACGCGCGACATAAGAAGCAAGTGATTTCGAAATTATCAGTAACGACGAAGAATTTTTTATACTACGCACGTGCCCCCCCCCCAAAAAAAATCCAAGGGCCCAAAAGTGCAGGGGTTTTGGTGAAAAATGCCTTTTTGGAAATGGTAATTCTGTAAATACAACTTTAAAATCGAAGGTGCCCTTTTTTGTTTCCAATGTACGCCCAGGGCCTACAGGTACGCCCACTTACCCGTTCCTAATCTTTGTGTAGACCATGATGAATATAAACCACACTACAGTCACTACTCACTAGTCGTGTCTTTAGTGCTTTGGCGATAAAACCGTCCCTATACATATTTTTAATTGCCCTTTCTATTAGTTAGAGCCCGCCCCCCAATCTCGGTATTCTCCCTACGCCATTGAGAATGGAAATTTCGGTTATTTACGGAAGAAAAATCGCTTTGAGACACTGTAAATATGCCAAAAGCTTTGAAATAAAAGTCAAACAGTAAAATACGCGCAAGACTTAATTCTTCCACGCGGCGAATCCGGCTTGATTTCGGTAAATCAATTTGGACATATTTGTGACCGTCTTATTAGCTTTTATTCAATTTTCTGTTTCTTTGTGCGTGAGGACAGTTTTCGGACATACGACACATACGGTGCGTTTTGATATGTGCACCCAGGTATATGTTAATGTACGCTTTTCGAGCATACTCGATCGAAGCTAAACGACACTGCATGCATACATATTCTGTGACTTGATCAAAATTATATTTGAATTTACGCAAGCAAAACGACACACTGACACAGCCCGCTTTTTTGTTTACTCGATCCGTGTTGTGAACGCGGTTTAAGGCGTATTAAAGGTTATGTCTGAGGAACGAAAGATGTATCTAAGCGATAAGCATTTGTGTTTTAACCGTACTGGGGCCGATCATTGTGCTTCTGATTGTCGAAGCCGATTTTCTTGTACCAAATGTAAGCGTAGACATCATACCTCGATTTGTTACGCCCCGGGTGATACGAAGCCTCCCGCTGCGCCCTTTAATGACACGCTACTTAGTCTTATAGTTCTGTCGTTTATCCTGTCGTAGTTGTTAATATGAATAGTGTTAAATGTCGCGCCGTAATCGACACTGGGGCGGGAAGTTTCTACGCCTCGTCTGCATTGCTCCACAAAATAAAAGCGAAACCCAAAAAACGAGAAATGCGTCATATAGAAATGATTATTATTGAAAAAATTTCCAGGTTGTTTAGAGCAACTTTTGTGAAGGCTGAGCAACTAGCATCAATGCGAGGCAACACCCCTTAATTGTTCGTGAAATCTTTTTAACGGTGAAATCTAACACAATTAGTGCGTTAAGGGGGGGGTTGCTCTCGTTGAAAGAAGAATACGCCGATCCGAATCTTTTGTCCAAAACGGAAGGACTAATTTTACAAACCTGTCTAGGGTTTTTTTTTGGCGAACATACATTGAAATGATGGAATGGTATGGATGAAAAAAAGTCAGTCACCCTCTACGGCATTGCATACCCAGGTAATCTGAGTGAAAAAATCAACGAATAAGAAGCCATATCCTCTGCTTCACTAAAGACTGGCTTATCATATCCTTCATTAGAATTTTTATTTTTGTCCGTTTTACATTTAAAAATTTTGAGTTTAGAACTACTCCGTTTTTTCAGGCGCCTTTTGACGTATTTAAAGCCATGACTAGCCAGCTGATCTGAGATCATGACGTCATAAAGCGTCTTATAAATTTCACATATATTGCAACTCAACAAACTATAAAACTTTCATCAGAAGTGAATTCAATCCGACAAAATTGGATCGTATGAACAGGTTGACTTCCAGGATTGGATTTTAAAATTTTATCAGAGCGTATGTACGCCTATGTTTCTATTCTTACGTAATCTCCGACCACGCGGGACCAGCGTAGTTTTGCTTGACACACGTGGGGCGATCAATGCACAAAACAGCTTTACTAAAACAAAGAAAAATATTATATAGAAATTAGAAATTTTTCTTCAATGAATGTATTTTAGCACAATATGAAGCTTAAATGGGCGGGCTAATCGCTGTACAGGGTGTCCCAAAAAAATGTCCCCTCTATTGAAATCAAGCCTTTGTTCGAATCTGATTGCCTTAATATTATGATAAACTAAATTGAAAGCAAGACGCTTTATTTGAATGCCTCAACCTAATAAATATGCTATTTACACACTACTGCGTTGATCATGCATTCAAATTCCAACAAAAGCTTCATTTCAATAGCGGGGACTTTTTTTTGGGACACCCTGTATATACTATACTAGATGCACTGTCCGCCGCAAAGCAATCGCAAACTGTCGAAATATATCAGCAAACTGTCCTGAAGTTGGCATGTCCTTCGTGCACTCAATGTGTTATTAATATGCTGCAAACGATTTAGACTCCGTGGTTTTACAAAACTAAGAGAAGGATAAAGAATGGCGTGAAGCTTCTCAACTCAGAGTTCAGGCACTGGAAGAAACTATAGCTGAAAAAGATAGGGAGTTGAGACACTAGGAAAAGTTGAGATTTCGTAAGTTGAAGGATGATTTTGAACATAACTTGAAACTTATATTAGAACGAGATCAAGCGTTAGAGAAATATGATACGGTGATTGGTAAAGTTAAGGAAAAAGAGCACGTTAAGACTGCTCAAGTTAGTGAATTGTGTGTGAAGATTAATGAACTCAACATCAAATTACAAAATTAAGAGAAGTCCAAAGAGGAGCTACAGAAACACTACCAAAAGGTAAATTTTTTAATTTTTTATTTTGATGAATCGATTCTGCATACAAAATATTTAAATAAAAACAGGATAAAATTAATTGAGCTAGGAGTCTGTTAAAACCTTTAACAGGCTTCTTAATTTAAACCCCTAGTTGCAATGGCTTGGTGCAATATAGTTGAACATAGTGACATTGGTGTCTATTATAAATATTAAATTGTGAAGGTGAAAATAAT